GTGGAGCAACAGCGGTCACTGTTCTGTCCCCATATGAGAATGAGACACAAAGGAGGGTATCACATTGAGTTCCTTGATGCTGCTTAAGGAATGAGGACAGGGGATATTTAATTGTTGACCTACAGTCATGTTTGCTTGTTCTCTAACACTTAGGGATATTAGTTTTCTGTGGACTTCACATGAAGACAAACAGGTAGAAAGTAGCAGTGTTGACACAGTGTTTAATAGACGGTGACAACTTCTGTCTAGTATCTGCCCCTGCTTGTTTGTGAATTCTGTGGGACAGCCTGTGCATCCTGCAGTTTCAAATCACGGAAGAAAAATATGTGATGGTGAATTTGCAAAGCTTACTTCCCCTTTCTTTTTCTGTACCATTCTTCTTCAACTTGTATGCCTGATGGTTACCAGAAGGAAAGTAGTGGCTCATACCCCTTCTTCTACACAAAAGTACTGAATGAAATAGTTTTATTGAAGAAACCATATATATTTGAATGCGCAAATTTAAAAAAAAATCCAAACACAAGAGTTATATAACTTTGATTTATAATTTGGGAAGGCTAAAGAAGGCCTCATGAGGGCCTACCTGCACTGAAGTTACTTACAGGTTTGCACTTGAAATAGTAAGCTGGTGCTCTACACAACTGTCACTTTTTGCAATATGGCTTCAGTAACGTGGCTATGGAAAATTCTACACCGTCATTCAGCAGCACTGCGATGAAATAGATGCACTGATGTCTTTCTCCTTTCACCCATTAACTAGTGATTGGACAAACTGCAAGTGAGTAGAAATGTGATTTCTATCTGCAGACTTGTTTCCTGGACCACGTGCCTTCCCATTGCTAATAAAGATACTGCCACCTATTTGAAGACATTGGCAGGCATATTTAAAACCCAAGATGAATTGAGCACATTTACTGCATTAGAAGCAGTTGCTAAATTGTAAGTAACTAAGTCTTGTTGTATAACTGCATTGCACTCAAGGGAACAATTTAGATTTTGAATTGTGTATGTTGGTAAGTGAAAACTATGTAGACATTGATTATTTTTTCCCCTTGACCTAATCACTGTTTGCCTATGGCAATATCTGATATGTTATGTGTTCACCAAAATTGTCTTGGGACCACAATGAGGCTTTTTTTTTTTTAGCTTCATTAGTAATCATAGTTACATTAGGAATAGAAGGCAGTGGAACAGTATACTTATACTGTGTACGACACCAGTTATTCTGTTTATCGTAAAGATGAAAGTGAAGTCTGCAGTGGGAATCTGAATTTGTATAGACAGAGGAGGAGACCAGATTTGAATATTTGTGCATTTTCAGCAATAATTTATTGTAAAAGAATGGAAGGCAAAAGGCTATTTAGATTTTTTTTTTTTGGTGAAAAAAATCCTTTCTGTATTTCTGTGTCTGTATTTGTAGTGTAATGATAGAACTTTTGATAAGACTAGAGAATATGAAAAGGATGTTGAGTAAAATAAAATTTAGTAATGTATTTTTCATTGTTTGAATTAAACAAGCTGCTAAAAGTCCATGTCATAAATAGTGAGAAGAACGTTTCCTCTTCTCCCCCACCCTTTGAATATGACATGTATTGTCCTTGAGGTAAAAATCTATAAGTCCAACAGAGAACTTTAAGAAATGTGTTTAACTTTTAACATTCTGTTGATTTCTTCAAATAGTAACTTGGTGTGTTAAAACACTGGTTTGTAGTGTAAGGGATTATGTGAAAAAATGTAGAAGGCTGAACTTTTAACTTCTACCTAGAGGTCATGTAACCAGACACTTGGATACTCTGATTGTTCAATAAAGTGTTAGGAATTTAAAAATTCCCACGTGAATACTTGCATATTGGCATGCATAAGAGGCCAGACTGTGGCCTACCTAAATATAGACTTGCAGTTTGGTATTTCTGAGAAGTAATTCTAGCCCAAAACAAAGAGATATTCAACCTTGGAAGTATGATGGCACGATATTGCTTTGGAAGGATAGATAGGTGAAATAGGGTGATTCGTGAGATGTTTGCATCTGCATGAGAGAGGCACTGTGACAGCTCATTTGCCTTAATTGGTGGCAAAATCTGCCAACTTGAAGCAGTGTTGGAGAAATCAGTGAATGCACTTGCTGTCTATAACATTACCAGCTCCTTCTGCTGTTAACTGAGGTGCCTAATACAGGTTTTATTTTTCCCTCCCTAGATGTAACTGAGATCAAGGTTTCTAAATTCTAAACGAAGCCATCCAACATGTTCCCTGAGCTTTTTCTTTAAAACAAACAAAACTTCAGTGTGATCATGGCTTTCTCTAGTCTTTGGACTTCTGTCCTAATATGTAAAATAATGTCTTAGTCTGCAGAAAACACTGACTCTTAACTCTGTTTTGTTGCTCAGCCTTTCTGAAGATGTTACTGAAGGTGGCCAACAGAACCAGGTAGCTATAAATGATGGTCTCTTAGAACAGATGATTTCAGGTGGGAGATGTTTCTTCATTAGTTTGAAAATAATCATTCTTTATAGCTTATTTAGAGCCCTACATTGCTAGGAAGTCCTGTAGTGACGAGAGGCTTTTCTCAAAAAACAACCATTTTTGTTGAGGGCAGGTCCTAGAGGATCTGGAACCTTGCCTGAAGATGCCTAACATTACCTTTAGGTAGCATTAATTAGCAAAATGTTTGGAACATACAACATTCCCCAGTGTTGTGTTGGGTGGTGTTGTGAAGAGTTGCTTAGCAGGCAGAATTACTGCTTTAGAAATTCCTATGTGCCAGTTGTAATGAAATAATTTACAGTAACATCCCATATTTAATTATCTATTGATACTATTGTACCCTCTTCAACCTTTTAGAGGCTTAATTACAATAAGCTGATATGGTGATAAAGATCACTTTCATGGTTTAGCTAAAACCATGGCCAGTAAACTATTTCCTGTCTTTTATTTGCTACAGTAGTGTTTAAATAATTATATTTTGTTTGAAGACAAGCCCATGTTGTTTATGAAGTGGCTGACTGGGTTGGTAGATGAGGGGAAACAAAACAATCTCTATATTATTTCTGGTGGCTAAGATGAACAATCTGGTTTTGTGAATTTATACATTTTTGTTTCAACTTCTCAAGGCGAAGCAACATAAATATTTAAGCAACTTGATTATTTCAGAGTTGTCTTGGGATCTCTTGCTTTGCTTAAGCATTAAGCATATAAACTACCTTTTGTCCTGATCTTTTACACAAATAATCCTGCTGCTCCCAAATAAAATTAAGGTTTAAATTCTTCAGATACAGCTGAAAACACTGTAACTGTTTTTGCTTGTTTGTTTGAAGTAATTGGAAGTGCACTGTGGGACAGCTCGTGAGTGCTCCAAGAAGAATACCAAGCATCTAAGTGTGTGGTAGAAAAGGAATAAACTTTGGTTGTTTATCCCAGGTGCCTGGTCTAGATGCCCTCATTTGTTGAGGTTATCATGGTCTTAATCCCGAGTTTTTAAAAGATATTTTTACTTGGCATTTTCACATTTATTTCATATAATTCTATTAAGTCTACGTCTCAAGAATTTAATGTTTCTTTGAGCTTAGAATAGATGTTTAGTCACTGTCTCTTCCTTCCCCTTAACTGAAAGTTAAAAATAAACCTATAAAACAATGGCAATGTGAAACAACTCATTGGCAGTAATCAAGCTGGAAGCAAGCTGGTACTTCAGCAGAGGAATTCTGCTTTGGTGTGCACATGCCTTAGAAATTGCTGCTGAAAACGGAAAAATTAAAAAATGCGTACGTGGTCTTTTCACGAAAAATCTTCTTTTGAGTAATAAAAGCACCTTCCTTTGACAAGCAAGAGACTATGGACACTCCAGTCTTGTATTAGGGGATAATACCAACTTCCTTAAAATATAATTTCAGAGCTGAGTTTTTCAAATTCTGCATTTTGCTCTGTTTTTCTCCTTCCCCTCATTCAGTCTTTATTATTCACTCTGGGCCCAAACTTGTATACAGCATTGTAATAGCCTGATGTTATAACACTGAAAATTTTAAAATGAAAATAATGATTTGTAATAAAAAGCCTGACAGACTAATTACAGCATTGCATTAATTATTATCTTGTTTCAGCTCTGTTCCACAGCTAATTCAGATCTGGGTTTCGTTGTTTTTTTAATCCCTATTGACACTGTAATTTTGAGAGAGTGACTATACTTGGAAACGATATAAATAAAATCAAGAAATAAAAATTGTCAGTTCATTTCTAAAATGTTGCCTCAGACGTGGTGCTTTGTGGATCTTCTGGTGACGGTAACACCTATATAATATAGAATACAACTCTGGATATCTTTGTTTCTGGATATCTTTATAGCATGTACTAAATAGCAGTCATTAATCCAGAAACTTGATTTGTGCAGCTAAGTTGGTACATAATTTTACATTTTGAGTTTTTTTTTTCTCCTAAAATGTGTGCAGTTCTTATAATGGTTAAGGTATAGATTGATGTCAGTGCTACAGTATAGCTCCAAGACCACAATTTGAAGCTACTTTAGAAAAATGCAGTTCTTTAGACATAGTGAAGCTGAAGTTGAATGGAAGTCCTATTAGGAGTGAATTGCATGTAAATATTAATAAGGGAAGAGTTCTTAGCAAGTCCTGAGTTTGGGAAATTGAGCATGATAATTTGCTGAAATTATGTCTGTCTTGAAGATACGCAGATGCAATAATTTTCAGTTTTCATTTGAACTTTTAAATGGTGCAGAAGGTACCCGGGTTAGGTTTTAAGCAAGAAAGTGTTTGGAAGTATTGGCAAATGTCGTTGTAATGGATGTATGGTAATGAAGGGAGTTAAGATGAAAGATGAATTGGACTGAATGACTGTTAAGTCATTTAGGCTGGGGTGGTTGCAGGTTTGGATGTTAGATGTCTCAAAGTACGTTTCCTTAGTTCCTGCACTTGGTTGGCTGTCTTCAGATCTTAAGAAAGTTCAGGAAATCAGTTTCTGACAAATTGCTTTGTTTTCCTTTTTTTCAGGATGCTTCATCTGCAGACATTCGGAAAGCATATCGAAAGCTTTCACTGGTTTTACACCCAGATAAGAATAAAGATGAAAATGCGGAAACACAGTTTAGGCAAGTAAGTGCATTGTGTGGCAATAGGAGTTTTAGGGCAAATAGAATCAAAAAATTTTTATGATGATGTCATTTTAGTAAGAACAATGGTACACCTTTGAAATGAATAAGTTAAACATTGAATTACACTTCCCCTGATGTAGCTAGGCTAAAACCAAATACGCTTTTTTTGAATTAACTTGTTGAATAGCCTGGATTTAGTATTTACCTGTATATTAAAAATAATTTGAACGTAATACTTATACTCTTAGGAGGAAAATATGTTTTGCACTTTCAAAAGCAGTGTAGAAAATTTCTGATCAGTTCTCAACACAAGACCTAGGTAGGCATAATTTAATGAAAATTATTTGTTTTAATTATTTAATTTTCACTCTTTGAATCTTTATGGAAACAACATGGCTTTGTAATGTAGCTCTGATGACTAAATACAACCTACTTAATTTCATTAAGATCTTTAGGATGAAACAAGCGATACCTATTTTTAAGATGTAACTGAAACAAGACTCAGTTTGACAGATGTGAGGAGGGGAACAAAGTCTTATGCAGGAGTTACTTGTTGGTGTCTGTTGACACTTTGTATATGAATATGTCACTGTTTCTTTTGCATACTGAGTTTGCTTCTTAGTCTTGTAGGGAAAAGTGAAAACTGGCAGAGGTCATTTGTTGGCCGATGTAAATATGATACTACTATTCAAACTTTATAAACTCAATCATAAAGTAAAGTCTTTTTGTGTGTGTTTTGTTTTCTTTTTTTGTTTGTTTGTTTTAGTTGGTGGCCATCTATGAGGTTTTAAAGGATGAAGAAAGGAGGCAGACGTAAGTTAAATTGCACAGGTTTTTAAATAAAGCATTCATACCAATGCTGTATTCAAGTCCTATTTGACTTAATTATAACACATCAGATGATTTTTTTTTTTTTGCATAGTTCGAGTTTGTAATTCTACGTAGATGTTTAATTAAAGATTGTATGTGGCTTAAAGGGGAAGGTGGTATTTTTGCATGACAGACTTTTTTTCTCCTTAAAAACTAGTATTTGAAAGAATTTTAAAAGCCAACTGTTATTTCAAGCAATTTTTTAAAATTCTTAAATATGTTTTTTCTCAGTTGTGCCAATTATCATTGCTTATTTTATTAAAAACTGTGGTTAAAAATATTGGCCACCAATTCAACTGTCAATCATACCTCCCTGTGTCAATACAAGGTTTGGTTTTGGTTATTTCCAGTGTATGTCATCTTCAGCATTGTTTTCTGTTGCTTAGTTCATAGGGGTTTTTTCTTTCAGATGTATTATCTCTAATATTATAAACTTTGATATATGTAGCATATTTTTTTTAATAAATGCTAGTTGTCCTTGCTACTTCAGGAGCAGTCTCAACAGAACCTGAAAGGGGTAGGATAAAGAACTGAAAACCTGGGGCTGATCTGCTTTCTGCAAGACTTTTGAACTATTTTTTTTTTTTCGACAAATAGGCATTTCAACCAATGATTACCAGGAGAACTGAGACATAGAAAAGAGTTTTGCTTTTGGGTTGGAGTTTTAGTAAATCATCTTTCAGCTTACAAGTCTTCAACCAGAGTTTTATGAGACATTTCTTGAAGGGATTTTGGCTTTGTAGATGTCTTGGCAGGTGTCCAGGGTTTATACTACAGATTATATACTTTGTTAATCCCCTCTTCAAGTGTCATGAAAATGTACTTCATAGAAGCACTTTTGGAAATTTGTATTTTTTTATTTCATCCATCTAAAGAGAATTTCATTGTGAAGTTACACTTAAGGAAAGTTTTAAAAAAAAGTGTTAGGTAAGTGATTTCAGACCACTTGAAGTGAGTTATCCCCCAAATCTTCCCAACTTTTCATTTGTAACATTGTTTACATACACTTTGTGATATTGCCTCTCTGGAATTTAGCTCTGTCATGGAACTTGTAGGAATTTCCTTGCAGCTGTAATAGAAGCTTTTTGCATGGAACTGTGATGCAGTAACTTGTAAAAGTTATGGTTTAAACCTTGCATACGCTACAAGTGTGACCAATGTACCCAACTACTCTTAATAAGTGCAGCAGTGATTACAAATGAGAAGTTAAAGCAGCAGTAGATTGTTCTAACTTAGATTGATTTAATCGTCAGTAACTTATTTTGTACATAGACAACGTCATATTTTTCTTGCACAATGTGGATATATGGTTGATACTGATTCTATAGTTTAATAAATATAAATGTAGTAGATTAAGTAGTGTTGCTTTCAGAGAATTTTCTGGAAACAATATGCTGAGTTTAGAAATAACATGTTGAGCAGAACTATATGGTCTTATTGCTCTGAGAAAACCTTCGTTTGTCCGGTTTATTGCATAGTCTAATGATGAACCCTGTCGAGCTTCTAAACAGAGGGTGGCCTGTCCTGTGTCCTGTAAGGCATTGTTGTAGCACGTCTCTAATACAAGTCTTAAGAAGGTATGGTAGGAGCTGCTCCCCCTGTAATATGGTTTCTCTTGTAAGGTAACTCGAGGGTTTCTTGCAACTGTACAGCAAAGGGAAGTGGGGAGTTGTTTTTTGGAATCTTTCTACTTTAGCTGTTGATATTTGCCTTTGCATTTTGTGATGGACCTAGTTGAAGAGGCTTGAAGTTTATTGTGATGCCCATGCACTGGGGGAAAACTATGCACCTTTGGTCTCTCAGGGCTTATTAACTCAGTTTTATACTCATTCCAGAGGCACTGTAGCAAGGCTTTCTGCCAAATTTCTCTGGGTGTTTGTTTTCTTGAGGTCTTTTTTTTAAACCTGACCTGAAGACCTGATGAGGATGAGATGGAAATTAGTTCCACTTCTTAGAGGTTGGTGAGGAATTCTGGCAGTTGAGCTGTGAATTCACAATTAGGCACCTAAATGGTTTGGAACATGGGTTTACACCGCTGAGAGAAGAGTGAGGTGCAGGCTTCTACTTGTGTAGTGAAGTTAGCTGTACTGCCTCTTCCTGTTCATCTCCAAAGTGATGTAATGCAGCATTGGTCCTGGTGTGTGCACAGACACTGGAAGCAGCAAAGGCAGGAATAAGGTCTTACACTGTATGAGAGAGTGATGAACTCACTTTGAAACAATAAAACCTCTTCTCCACATCTTGGTGAACGTCGAAGGTGTTGTTTGTGTGAGTACAGAGAGAGTGTTCTAAAAAGGCGGATGTGTTGGCCAGCTACATGTAATTATTTTTCTAAAACCATCCGTGTATTTTTACTTTATCTGGTGGCAGAAGCCTTTCTTAAAAATGTTATATTTCCTCTACTGACAGTTACAGTACAGGGCTTTAAGATGTGGTTTACTTTTTTGAGAAACTTATAGTTGCTTGTGAGGTACACTAATATCATTAGTAGTACTACAGAATATAGTAGTATTACATGTTAGTACTTTTGTCGTACACACTTTGAGTGATGTGTAATCAAAACATTCAGATATTCTAACAGTAAATGTATGTGCAGCATTGTTTAATGTAGCACTGTTTAACATTAAACATCCATGGAGCAGAACACAAATTTTTGTTTTGTGTACACACTGTGTATTTCACTAGAGTGTAAAATTCTACAAAGTTTATCTTTAGAGTAGGTAGAGATGCATTTATTGTTAAATCAATTTATTAGCCTTTGACTATTTTAATTTATGAAAAAATAGATAGTCTTATGCACTTCTGGTAATTAGGCAAAAATCTTAGATTTTATTTTCGTTGTTTGTTACCATTTTAAGGAGCTTTTATTACATACCAGGCCTATCCTCTGTAACAATGTGGGCTTGATTACAGCAAGCATTTGCAAAGGAATCAAGATATACTTGTTTAGCGTAAGAAAGGTGTTTATTTTAGTTCTCATTATAATTAAATGTCTGTATTCATAGGTATAAATTGTGCTGACTGATGCTGCACTGGAATTCTTTGACAGCTTGAGGAAAAAAGGCCCCCCCAAAATAAAAAGTACCAGTGCAGTCTTCCCATAGTTGAAAATAGATCTCATTAATTCAAGGTTATAGTATATAAATGATATCAGATCTCTGAAATAATTTGAAATATGAAATGGAGTGGCTCTCTTAAAGGGAAAAGTAAATTGTAATTATATTGAAATAGGTGATACTGTAATTAGTTGCTACTGTTAATGGATTTTTTTCTTGCAATGTAATTGATTCACAAAGAGTTCTAAAAACTGTTTTGTGAAACTTTACCGAAGAAAGAAATTTTAATAGTCTTGCAATTTGTTACTTGTTATTTACAAGACTAACAAGTCTTGTATAGAATCCTGAGTTTTAAAATAAATATTCAATATACTTCTAAGTGGGGATTTGTTTTTGTCTTTTTGTTTTGTACGGGTGCTTTGGGGTTTTTGCAGCTTGTTGACTGCTACATTTCAGAGGTAACTGGTAGGCATACTCATATGTAAAAAATTTGCCTTATTCTATGTGCATACGTTTTAGGGAAAAATACTGCAGATATATATTTTCTTTTCAGCTTGGGGTTTTTTTTTCCTTACATAGATTTACAATTAATATAGGTTGCCAAAAGAATACTTTGTAATTGATTGTGAATGTAGTTCTTGATGCACATGGATTAACTAACTGTCTTTCATAGTTAATATAAGTTTCTATAAAGAAATACTTTAATGAGAAACTTGCTTTTAATTAAACCACATTATAAATTTGAAAAATCAAGATTTAAAAATTATGGGAAGCTTCTGAGTTTCAGTAGGATCATTTTCCAGTTGAAAACCTAAAAATCGTTGATATCTTTATTTTTCAAATACAGAGCTTAATGACTATTGAAAGCAGTGATTTATCTTTTAACAGTATATATTCTAAAAAGTGGGTTATAATAGAAGCTATCTTCCCTTAAAATGGCCAGTCGTGTGAGCCATAATGCTCATTGATAGTAAAATCAATAGAGCATTGATTCTGAGACTTAATCCTTGGAGACTGTTGTTCAGAACAGCGGACGTAGCCTGGTAAATACCGAGTGCTGTTTAAAGCGCTTAATGCAAGAGACTCTGCTGTCTTAATTTATTTTTTCTCAACAGATAATTTATAACAGAACATGGTTGCCAAACATTAGTTTGAAATCTTGGTTTACATATTACTATATTATTACCATCAGCATATATGGGCCTTATTTAATCAGTGGCTGTTTTTTCAGTACATCAATTAACAACCATTAGTGTATAAGAAAGGCAGCTGCTTAATAAATTTATAGTAGTATTAAAAAAAAAACCGACTTGCTTCTACATGTATTTTTCTGAAGCTTTCAAAAAAAAATCTTATGCGAAACCTTGTTATGAACCTAATTTTTTTAAAAATGGTTTTGTTTCTAAAATATTCTATTGTCAATAAAATCTTTTGTAAATGCATTATTATTTTATAAATGCTAAAACTTCTACTTATTTCTTAAAAAAAAAGTAAAGTAGAAGTTTTAGTTTTGGAATAACATCCTATGCAATTTTTTTGAACAGAGTTTGTGTTAAGGCATCAGTAGCTAATTTGTTTTGACTTACCAGGAAAGAAAAAAGTTACTATTTCAGGTTTTACAATAATGGATATTTATCTTCGTATTCTTGTAGTTATCATGGAAGACAGAATTTTGTAATATGAATTTTACTTCTGGTAGCATTCAGAACACAGAAGAATCCTGAGGTGTTAAATCTTTTGCATAGAAATAACGGTGACAACTTGAACAAATGTTTTATCAGAAGTCAGCTTTCTAGATATGCACTAAATTAAAGTGCATTTTTTAATTGAAAACCACTGCCTCTTTTTCTGCTTAAAAGATGAATTTGCATGTGGAATCTTTTTTTAGTACATCTCCAAGGTATCAATTTAATAACTATCAAAGTAGCTAGTGCAGTTGTTGCATTTAAATTGATTTACATGTCAAGACTGGCAGTTTAGCAGCTGCGCTATTATTCCTGGATTGGTCAATTTACTTGAGAAAAACCTACTACTGAGTTCTACTGACCTGCATGACAATATAGGCCCTATTTCTATTCCTGTAATTAGGCCTGCGACTAACTCAGAATATTTTTAATTAAAATATTTTGGTCAATGTGTTGCACCAAATTAGGCCTTTCAGTGCAGATTTAATTCTGGAAATGGTGTGATTAGAATATGTAATGAGTCATGTTCAATTTAAGATTAACAGGTTGTGTATCTTAAACATACAGGTTTTTGAGTTTACTGTAGAGATTTTTGTTTGAAATTTTACTCTGAAAAGTTAATTTAAAAAAATCTGGTTTGCATGTCTGTGATTTGTTTATTTTTAAATTTATGATATACTGTAAATAAAAAACCCCAGACATACTATGATATTTCAAAATATTTGTGTAAAGGAAAACAGACAAATTATCGTAAAATGTTTTCTGTACAGTTAGCAGTGTTAGTAAAATTAAACAGTCTCAAAATAGATTTATTTTGGAGACAGATTTTCAAATAGAAAATAAAAAAGTAGTGAACTTCGTTTTCAAACATCAATATGAAGGCTCTAACTTAAGTTCATATCTTACGCTGAATGAATGTTAAGTCTGGCAGGTTTTTACCTAATGGATATTGTGCTACTAAGGGACCAAAAAAAAGCAAAGATACCTCTCCCCTCCCACCAGCACTTGTGCATTTAATTTGTAAAAGGTAAAAATGGTTTCTAGTGTTTGAGACACTTGTTCTTTGCTACCTATTTAATACTTAGTGGGTTGTTATTTACTTCTATCACGAAGACCTGGCCACTGATTACTGGGCAGGTAGAACACATCTACGTTTTTGAAGCCTCTTATTTCAGAAGTGAATGAACTTGGATGGGCCTGATGGGCAGGGGGTGTGTGTGGGGAGTGTTGCAGGAGCATTTGAATTACTTTTTTTTTCCCCGTGAAAGACAAGGAATATTTCCCAAGCGTTTGGTTCTGGCCTCTGTTTGTTTCCAGATGCAAGCCTAGCTGCTGACAAAACAAGATGTTGCTCTCTTAAAAAAGAATAAAAAAAATTACAAAATGATCTTTTGTGTGTGTATTATTGAAGCGCACTGTGGATTATCTTTTGTTTTATAATTGGGTGGTTTGGCTTATTTAATTTTTAGCTCTCCATGAAAGCCTGTTATGTTTGCTACTGTAGGTATGATGATATTCTGATCAATGGACTACCAGATTGGCGACAGCCTGTATTCTACTACAGGCGGGTGAGAAAAATGAGCAATGCTGAGCTGGCATTACTCTTGTTCATTATACTCACAGTGGGTCATTATGCTGTGGTTTGGTCAATCTACCTGGAAAAACAGCTGGTAAGTATTGGTAATAAATCAAACTTGCTTCAATTATTAGTATTGAATTTCCTGCAGAAGTTTGCATATTATAGAGGTCTTTACCACTTCCCCTTGTTTAAATTTGCATTTTTCATATTTTAAAAGGATTATATTTTAAATGGTGATAATTACAGCATGAGATATTTAACATGTCAGAAATAGTAATCTAAAAACCACTTAGTTTTCCTAGAATTGGTAATAAATTGCAAGAGATAGTCCTTTGGTTTTTAACTGAAAGGAAGAAGAGAAAGTAAAACTCTTCTGTCATTTGTTGATGCAGAATAATATGCTACTGTAGTCATGTCTGTGGTTCTCCTAAGTGGTGTTTAAAAATAATCAGGTTTTATTAGTATAAAAGTCATACTTGGTTTGCCTTTCTTCTTAGCTAAATGCTTTTTTGTTTTGGGCTTTTGTTAACGGTGGGGAATCGGTAAGCAGTATAAACCACATTATTTTTTGATTATTTTTTGTGATAGAAAAGTCTATTGCACTTAGTAGACTAGGAAGAAAACTTAGCATAACTTGAAAAATATTCATACATTAGCATCTATTTACTTTTTTTATTTTCCACTGCATTATCGAAGTTGATGAATGAGAAAGGAGGCAAGTTGAATGCTTTCTCCTCTTAGAAAACTTTGATTGCTATGGAGATACACATGAGTGACAGAACTGGACTTCATGTGTGTTTAAAGACTGGATACCATGGCAACAGTTATTGTTAAGATAGATCATTTTACTTAATCATGTAGGACTCCAGATGCATTTGCATAAATGCTACTCTACTGTTTACCCTTCACAGAAGAGTCCCAGTAACATTTGTGGTTTACATGCTAATGATAACCTGTAACCATAGTTCTTTCTACATCAAGGATGAACTGCTTAGCAGAAAAAAGAGGGAGAAGAAGAAAAAACCAGGCATCAGGAGTACAGATGAAGCCAAACTTGCTGCTCTAGACAAAAATGAAAGGTGGGAAGGAACTCTCTTGTTTTCTGCATTTTAAACATTTTGTCAGTTACTGGTTTAGTTCTGCCATTTTCTCTTTGCATCTTTGAAATGTTTTATGAGAAGAATAACAGTATTTGTAGCAGCAGCCATTGCTGATATAAAGTGTGCAAGTGTAGATGTGTTTTCAGGTTTTGATTTGTAAATTAACATGTGGTATTTATCCAGCAGATCAACAATAATTGAAATATTAAGGCTGAATTAATGGTATCTGGCTTATCAAAGTGTAATATTTCTGTAAGTTGATTTTAGAAGACTTTATGACTTTTTCCATCTTTAAAGGGTTTTGCCTTTGATTACAATTAATGAATTTCAATTAATTTGAACCTTAGTTTGTTACTATACCAAGCAAGGAGTTTTTATGGGGTTTTAATGCTTGTCTGATTAAATGCTTTTTATCTGATCAACTTAAAAACAAGCATGTTGGTAAAGGCTTCTAACGCATTGTTTGTCAAGGAACACGTAGGGAAATAGTGACTTTCAGGATGCTCCAAAAGATACCACCATTTCTTCTATTGATTCATAGAAAGAAATAAAGGGTTTAAATAGTTCACACAGCAGGGGCATGAACTGAATCAATGTGGGATGGAGATCAGAGACCATTCTGCCTGTCGTCTTTCCTGATGACATCAGTGAGTAATGCTCCAGTGAACTGCAAATGACATTAATTTTTATGTATTGTTTTGTTTATGCTACAGTCTTCATATCTGGTTGTCAGCACTTGTGAACACTTGGTTGAGGCTTGAGTGTTCTTTTTGATTTGGGTTTTTTTAAAACTGATTATGTGGGTTATGAATTTATTTTCCAGAAGAAAAGCCCTTTAAGGAGATCAAAATACAGTAATCATTAGAAGTAACCTGTTACATATTTTGAATTAAATATTCAAAAGGTATGTTTAATATTATGTAGTTAGACATTTTTATGGGAATTGACAAATGCTAATCATCTTAAATGATAATGGGAAATTTCTTTGGCTTTGAGATTGTGTTGCAATAATGAAAAACCTACAATTTTATTTGACTGCAGAATACTGGACAAACCACAATGGCATGACTTACTTCCATGCAAGCTGGGAATATGGTTCTGTCTCACAGTGAAAGCTTTACCTCAGCTATTCCAGGTAATAGTAATAATTTTAAATTGTATTACTTTATTTTTCTTTATGGTGTTATTATGCATAATCAGATGTGTAGCACTTGTTCTTAATTAATATTTTGGCTCAAGCACATACCATATATGTGTGTGTGTATATAAATTACTCTTTGAAGGCAATTTTAATATCAAATTCATGGGGATATGAATATATTCCAACTGGATATTAATCTTAACGTGCTAGGGAAGCAGTTTCTGTTAGGCAAAACTACAGGAATAAATGATGGGAGAGGAGTGATATATATCCATCTAATTAGGAATAGCAATGTCTTTTAAGTGATTTTGACAGAAGTACTTTTATCTCAAATCGGCAATTTCATAGCAAATTTTAATATGTCATTTAAATTTGAGGTAACAGTGAAATTGGTTTTTCTGATTGAGTTTCCTTTCTTTAATTCACTGGATAATGATACAAATGGATACCTGGAATTACTAAGATAAAGTAACAAAGGTATGGTTGTAATTTGTGAACATCAATGTGGCAGACTTGCTCACAATTGTGGTTTTTAATCTAATACTGTAAACTGTAAAATTTAGCTGGTATTCAACCAGTGTAAGTATTGTCAGATCAGTTATCAGAATAACTTTTTTAGTATCACCTGTTCTTTCTTTTATTTTCCCTTGAATACACTTGTCTCTGCTAACATGGATCAGGGAATGCAAGGTGGATTTACCTTGGTTTACAGAAATACTGGGTATTAATTTAAAAGTACAAGTAGTATAAATGTCATTAGTGTTTGTTTTTTGTCTGTGTTCAAGATGGAAATAAGCCTATAGTTCAGAATTCATACCTTGTTAGCAAAAACCTTGTAAAAGTTATAAATGCAATACAGTCTGGTCTCTCAGCATCTGTTTTTATAGCCTTTAACTTTTCCTACAAAGAGATGCAAAAGTTAATAGTTCTTCCTCTTTTAAAAATTTCATCAGAACTATGTGGTTATTTTATTAAAGAAACCTTTCTTTTTTCAAGTTTTAAAGCAAATTAATTGTGCTTAATCAACTGTTGTGTCCCAGTTAAGCTTTGATGCTCATCCCTCACTGAAGTGAGTCAGATAGAAAATGACTAAGGTCAGGAAACTCTGTTGCTGCATTTTAAGAAGTTTATTCATTATTATACTACTTTCCCTTTTGTCTTGATTGTAAAATATTCAAAAAATACAGGATATAGTAAGATTCATCAATAATTTTAAATTAGGACTTATGGGCTTCTTATCACTTTTATGACATTAAGATAGAGTGTTACATCAGTATAACAGGTTTCAGATTTGCTATTCAAAAAGCAGCTCCTATGTCTGCTTAGAATAGGCAAAAAAGATGAATACAACAAAAGCGATGTTTTGTGCTTTGTAGAACTTAGCCTTTCTTTGGATTCCTGATCCATTGAATTAATGGTAGTAAAAAAAAAAAGTCCAATAACTTCTGGAAAATTGGAGACTATCAAACAGGGGTTTGGTGGCAGGGCAAGCATGATATAGAGAAAGTCAGAGCAGAAAGGCTTCGATGCAAGGCGGAAGCAAAGATATGGGGGTTCTAGAGTAGATTGCCCCATATATGAATGACACTACTGCTTAACTGCAGGGTTTGTTTTGTTGTTGTTTAATGTGACCTGTTAATTATGTAAGTTAAAATACAATACATCATATGTAATCTTCAATATTAAGAATATTCAGGACTTCAGGTGACTGAAATAAATTACTGTAGCTTATTAGTTAACAATACTTAAAGAATTATTACCTCTTTTGAAGAGCGTAAAAGCAGCAGTGACCTCATGTTGGAGCTGTTTGCTGAAATGACAGTTGAAAAGATGCCTGGTAGGTTGTAGCTACCTGGACAAAGAGTCTGGGCTTCTTTTGAGTTATATTTAATGTTTTGAGTTATATTTAACGTTCTGCCTTAATTACAGTTACCAACATAGAGTAAAAAGTTATCTGTACTTATAAGATTATACCCTGGTACAACAATCCTGTTTTGAATATAAGTGCTTTTCTCTTCAACACTAACACAGGCTTGAGATTTCTGAGTATTTCATGCTTTTAATGTAAGTAGAATCACTAGGGCAGTTTTTCTAGAAGAAGAAGGATCCTACAGGTACTGAGTAGTGTTACATGTCCAGGTTACACATGCAGATTATTTAACATGGTGTTGCAGTGGTTGACATCAGAATGGACACTACAAATTTTAGTTGTTTATTGCTTTAATTTTAAGGATTTCTTCAGTCATTTAAGAGCCAACAAGTTGTTTTTAAAATTGGCTGTCATTCACCTGCAACTAATGCAATTGTAGATGAACTTCTAAAAATGCATCCATATTTAAATGAACCCTGTTTGGGACAGGGTAGGGTAAGAGTTAATACTTTTAATTGAGTGTTTCTTCTGCCATTGAGTTTTTCAAAGCCCTGCTGGTGAAACATCTAAACTGTTTCCTCAAATTAAGGAAACAAAACCACCTGCCTGTGTACACAAGTTCTTCCTCAGAGGAGACTTTATTTAAAACAACCCCAAACCAAAACAAACACAAACCCAAACCAAGAACACCAACAACAAATAAAAACAAACCCCCAACAAAACAAAAAATACGGGCAGAGATCTATTTAAACTTTTTGTTCTCATATTGAATTTCTTTTACCTAGCATCCCTCTCTGCCCCCATTAGTTAATGTGAATATTTTGCTTAGAGCAGCTCTGTCTGTGGGTTCAGGTTGCTGAGCTTCTGCCCAAGCCTGGCTCTCATTTGTCCAATTGAGTGTCTTTCTCCTACTTCCCCTCCTCCTTCAAAATGTCAGATTTCAGAAGGAGGCACTTAAAATAATTAAGGTGGGCCTTCACCGAGGAAAAATGCTTTGTTTGCGTGCCCTTGTGATGGCCTATGGCATTTTATTGTAGCCTGCATTTTATGTCAAGAAACTGGAAGAAAAATGGGTGAGAGGATGAGAGAAACTAAGAAAATGAGTGGGTTTTTTAAACTGTTGACAATTGTATTTTGAGAGAGACTACATAGGTTTTTATATCCACGCATTTAGTTTAGTTAAATTTAGGGATGAAAACAGTATCTTTAAGCTTGTTTGAAGAAATGAAGGGAGTAGAATATGTAAAATGTATCATAAATCAAATATCTGTGCTATGAAAGAAGCATTAGGTGGAGTGTAACTTAAATAGACCATTTCCAAGTTTAATTCTTATAATGCAGGTTAAGAAAAAGATAGGAAAAGAATGCAAATTGTTTCTAAGGTCATTTATAGTTAACTCTTTCATGAGAATGACCTGGAAGAAGGTTTTTTATTTACAAAAATAGATAAAAGAAGAAGAAGGGTGAAGACCCCACAAAAACTCAATTAAAACTATCATTGGAACTAAAATTTCTTCTTAGAAAGAAATAAACTAGCTACATGTAGTGTGCAAGAATTTCAGTTCAAGTGGTGTATGCAGTATGGAACAGACAGTTGTGTTAATGTGTTCTTTTGTGGAAGAACTGTCCTAAATAAATTGCAGTTTATTCCAAAAACAGCTGACTAGGGATTTTTCTTTGGGTGTGCAGACACACAACTTAGGAAAAGTGGTCTTTTAAAAAATATTGTTAATTATTCTTCACAAAATATTTCCTTCAGAAAACAGAAGATAGGAGTGTTTCTTAGTATTCCTTTCAACTACTTTTCCTCCACATTGATGTGGTGAAGTTGAGCAATGAGTGGCTTTATTTTTACACCAACTAAATTATGAGCCCTTGTCCTGGGGGTAATGAAACAGAAAGCATTTCTGTTTGTTTCAGACAGAAATGGGTTCTTTTTAAGAAAATAAAGTGTCCTTCTTTTGTCTCTAATCCTGTAGGTGTAGTGCACACACCCTTGCACTGAGCTGATGGGAGGACTTCTGGTGGCTTGCCAGTAATGAGAAGGCAGTTTGAGCTCAATATGTAGTTGCACTGGGTATAACCCAGTGAGATTATCAACAAAGCTTTCAATTACAATTGAAACTTGTGTTTATAAAGACCTTTGTGTAGCACAGAGTGAATTAAAACAAAAAGGCCAGTAATTTATTTTTATGTAGACTACCAGATGGTAATTACTGTAGCTGATTTAGTAGCCTGGAATAGATTCAAACTAGTGACCCAGAGGTGTTTAATTTCTTGGCATTTTTTGCTCAGGTTTTCTTTTTATCCGTGATCACAGTTCAACACCTGTTTAGAGGTGGTTTAGCTTTGGCCTTAAACGCATTGGCAATGTGTCATTAAACGCAAGAGGCTTTGCCAGCAGGGCATCTCCTTTGGCAAGTTAGCTTTTAAGCAAGATTTGATTAGATCAGCAAATGTTGTATTTGTGAGTTGTTTTTGTCTTCGCATTTGACTATATAAAATCGTGTGAGATTAAAACAAACTTTATTGCTTTTAATAATGTATGCCTTAATTTTTATTTTTTTTTTTAAAAAGGGCTTTATTCAAGTCAGTAAGGTTAAATATATCTTTATTCCCCAGCTTTACAGGGTTTTGACGTGTTCCAATTCACTGTACAGCACCAATGTTGATATAATTTGTGGGGAGTGAGCAGTTGCAGGATGTGTGGCACGAGTGATTGCCCATTTGCTCTGTTTCTTGCTATTTCACAGCTGTTGGGAGAACCAAAGTAGAGATGAAGCTCTTGACCCTGAGGTCAATTAGAAGCTTAGAAGCAGGTCAGAGGAGAGGGGATGGTAAAACAAGTATTCTGGGTGTATGCAAGTGAGCAAAAATAATTTGTGCCTAACAGGGTATTGTTTGAGGCTCTGGAGACAAAATGTGGTGCATGGTAAAAGTTTCAAGTAAATGTAAGACAGTAAACAAATTTGCTTTTAATTGCCTGCTCTGCTATGGCAGCTTCTTCAGATCACTTACTGTGTGTCTACATGTCCTACCAGACATGTCAGAGGAGCGTAGATCCAACAGGAGCTCCTGTGTAAGAGGCCGTAGTGGCTCTCAGTGAATAGAACTGCTCTGTTATGGTATGAGGCTTCATGGAGTGTGAAATGGGTCCCAGAGAGGCCTTGCAGCACTGGCCTCTGTTCCCATTTCTGGCTACCTTAGTCTCACCACTGGGCATGTGGAATTCCCAGCAGGTACTGCAGTGCCACAGCCAGCTGCTGGTCACCTGGTGCACCCGGGGCTTGGGAACCACGCTGCAACTGCCCACAGGCTGTACACAGCTGAAGAGCCTCACCACACTGGTATTATTCCAAGGTCAAAGAGTGATTTTCTGATTACACAGGAGAAAATAATGTAATTCTTATTTATTTACTAGATTGCCTTTGGGCAAAGATGTAAAAATGCCAAAGAGAAGTATAAATCATAATGTTCAACTCCTTTTTTTTTTTTCAACATTTTTTCTTACCATAACACGTTGAAATCACTAGTTTAGAAACGCATCCAAAGAGTATTTTTGCTGTGGTATAATGGCTTGCATTTTTATTGCATAGAAATAGCAAATTGAAGGTCAGCTGTTGCAGTAAATTTAATTTAACTCCTTTCTCTCTTTTTTTAATATAAATTGTACAATAACACTGCACTCAAAAAAACCAAAGAAATTGGTTCAGGAACTCCGTACAAGTATTTATCTCTAAGTCTATAGATTGATTTAATACAAATTAGTCCAAAGAAAATTATTTCAATATACTGATTTTAAGTATGCTTGTGGGAGAGTTTTCAGTTAACTGTAAATTCTGAGGGGATGCATTTGGTTTGTATCAATCTCTTACCCGGAGAACCAAGATGTGGAACTGATATAATCACAAAATCTGAAATGAAGATTCACATATGACAAATACAGCAAGTTGTTTCCAACGTTTGCCTTCCCTCTCCTAATCTCCAGTGTTTCTGAGGTAGACCAGAAAACCAGCAAGATTAACTGGAGGAAGAAAAAACCCAAAACCAAAAAACCACAAAGCAAATAAACAAAAACCTCATCACCCTCCCCAAAAGTCAAGGAGAGGCCAAAATGACTGAGTCTTACTCAGAACTGAAGTTTTCAGTTCTAGAACTAGCACAGTTTGAATAAATGCTGTATCTGCTGATTTAAAAGCAATAAACAAACAAAAAAGCACATAAAATCCCAACCAAAACCCCAAAGTCCCAAACAAATGAAAAAAATCCCTTGAAAGTCCAGTATCACATATTTCTGTATTTCTGCATAAGGCAAGCTCAGTTTTGTCTTGTCAATCTTAAATTTATTAACATGACATGATACTGATATAAAGAGAGAAACTATATTTTCAAGGACTTTTCAGTATTCTTAGTTCTTATTTGTGATTAAAATATTGAAAATACGTGTTTTCATTTTTATTCTACAGCACTTTTTGAAAATTTTTATTAAATATGAAGGTAAACACAGGAACTTCCTATATGTGACAGGTTAAATATAATTTAGAAATACTAACAGCAGAACTTTACATTTCCAATACATTCTTTCTTCATTCTGTTCCTTTTTGGAAAGTCTATATTTGAAATTGTAGTATAATAAACCAGCATATATCAGCCCTCTTCTTTATTATTTTTGCTTAACTAGTTACATGTTATTATGTTACTGCTTTGATGATGAGAAGAAGTAATGTATTTGTACTGATGCTCTTTCTGAAAACTTCTTAAACTCCTGCAAATGAGAACAAAATATTTCTGATTAGGTAAGATGGAGCTTTTAGTTAGAAGAGTTCTAAACTTTGTACTTGTGTGTCTCTTTTCTCAGTATCTTTCCATCCCCAGAAGTACAAAAATGTTGCTTTTCTTATGTTTATTACCTCTGGAAGGTGAAGTATATGTCAAGTATAAATTTTTGATGTTGCACATATTTTGAGCTGTAAAATCATTACTGATTCTTGGGGGAGGAGCATTAGATTGGAAGATACTGTATCAATGTTGCCAGTGTCTTTAGGGCCCTAAAATGTTTGCATTGAGACAAAATGACTGCTTAAATTTATCACGTTGGAAAAGTAAAAAATCTGAACATAAATCTATTTTTAAATACTTATGCTACCAAGACTGAATATGCTTGAAAAGGAATATTCCTGTTTAGACTGATTAAAAGCTAATGAGGAGTAAATTGAAATGGGCTTATTTATGTTAAGGCAGAAGTTTTCTTCAAAGAACTTCCTATTTTAAATGGTTTTCTAGTGTTTTTTTCATTTTGACCTATAAGGTCTAATACTCATAAAATTTGTGTCTTTACTCAGGTATGCCTTTTAATTTCTCTTTACAACCTGTAGAGCCATTTCTTATGCTTTTCTGGGAAGGATTTGATTTTCAAATCTTCAAAATCCATTTCGAATAAAGCTTTTAGTTGATTTTTTTCCCTTGCTTTTCTTTATATGTATACATTTGTCTGTGCTTCAAAATGTGCAGTCTCCCTTTTTTTTTGCTATTATGGTACCAGCCATAATAAACTTATCAATGAGATAAAAAACCTGATGTTGCCTTTATTACCTGCGTATTACTCCATTTGTAGTGATAATCCATTTTATATCTATAAAGCAACAATACTACCAAATTTCATTTATGTGCTTCTGACTAGTTTTCTTTGTTGTTCAGCGATTGTGTCTCATTTTCATCTGAGCCACATTTCCAATTGTTCTGTGATTGACGTGCTGGAGAGATTGACAGTTACCCCCTAGTGCCTGCTGTCTGGAGATCCCACAAGCAATAATGGGTTTTACACCAGAATTTAGCATCAAATATTGGCTTTCAGTGTCAAATGGGTTAAATTTAAATGCCAGTTAATTGTAGCCATTTTGAAATCATAGCCTTAAACAAAAGCGTTTTTTGGATATCAGTATGTCTGAGTCCTGTGTATGCCACGCAACCCAAATGTCTCAAACTTACAGCAGAAGTAAACCATTGCATTTATGGCTGTTCCTGTTTCTTAATGAAGCAAATGGTCCAGATCTGGAGAGCATAAGTAAAGTTTCCATACGTGGTAGGGAATACGTATTTCAGGTAAATATATATATATATATATATAAAAGAGAACCAATAATAAATATAAAATATAAATATAATTATATATAAAATATATATAAAAAAGAGAATCAATGTTGATCCTAATTTTCTAATTTGGTGTTCTAACATAGAAACTGAATACATTTCCTCAAATGTTAATACTAGTCCTCCTGTACCTACACATTCTTTTTAGCCACAGTTCTACTAAAACTACCAAAAAACCCCTCTTCCCCATCCCCAAACCCAAAACTTGTAAGCATGTGAGATGCTCTCTTCTGTTATGTTCCAGCAGCAAAAAGTTATGTAAACTCTTTAAAATTAACTTCTGTGTTCAGTGATTTCTACATACACCTGGCAAAGAAATGTAACTTCCCATTTCCTGTACCCAATGTAAAGACAAATAGAGTAAGAAGAGGTGTTTTGGAAGGAGGTAGAACCTTACTGATCTTTTGTGGCAATTTGTTAGAGTTTTTCTTCAAGCTTGCTGACTTGTATTGATGAGATGTCTCCAAAACATTACAAAGTTCTGCTCAGAGCTGGGCCATGGTTCCTGTCCTGTGTTTTCCCACCTCCCTCAAGTGTCTTTGCAGGGGTAGATGCCAGCATAACATGAGGAACAACTCTGTTGTGTCACAGTAGCTTTGCAGGAAGAAACGGTTTTGAATGATTTCTACCATTAGAGGCAGCAATAATGACTGCTTACCTCAGTTTTTTTGTTTTCAAGATTTGTTAAGATGCCTTATTTCATATTAATGATACCAGGTTGTGTTCAAATCTATGGAATTATAGTTGAAGTTATAAAAAAACATTTACTACTGTTTTACAATACATTCTACATTAAAGTTTAAAACACCCTTTTTATATATAAAATGGTACTGTTAGTGTAATAACAAGAAATTATTTTTGGCTATAAAGAACTAAAATTGGGTTTATCTAATTCTGTATTTTTTATGTAATACAATGGATATTCTGCATGCTTGGAAAACATAAATAACAACTTGTGTATTTCAGCATTTCTATTATAAATTCCTTGGTTTTGAATAAGTATAGAAATCTCTTAAACTGGTAAGTGAGAGTAAGAAAACTCTCCATACTTCTTACTTCAGCAATCTAGTTGTTCAATTTGGAAGGCTTTCAGTGCAAATCTATAATTATTAATTCATCAGATTTTGGAAATGTGTACCTTATTGTGGTATTTGTGGCAAGACTTGTAGTTATATGTATACATTTGGTATATGGATTTCAAACTATAATCTAATCCTTGGAGAAAAAAGCAATATATATTATTTTCAACACTTTAATAGCAATGTAGAAGTTGATTTAAAAAAGAAAATGGAACAAGCTGGAACATGCATTTAGTGTTACCTTAATGAGTTCACACTAAGGTGACTGCTGCCTAGCAGTTGCCTTTGTTTGTCCCTGCACACACTACTTTAATTAAAAACTTTTCTTTTTCTGTTGAACTTCCAGATTGCTGATGTCAACAAAGGTGGGGGTACAAAGTCCTCTTCCAAAGCTGTAGGTAGTTTCTCTAATCATTTTGCTTTTCAGGTTGTCAATGAGCATCATAGTCTATAATATCAATGCTATTACATTTGAATCTTTATTACACAAATTCTACATTCTGAGCAAATACTTTCTAGACTGAAAATTGATGTAACTCAAGGAAACAAATATATCTTAAAATTTTTTTCGAGGTTAATTGAGAACTTAAAACAGAGCCATTGCAATAACTTGTTTGTATAAGGATGCTAATGCCATTGCAACGTTTTCTTAAAGGATGCCAGACAATTATATGTAGAATATAAAGAAACAAAAATGAAGGCGAAAGAAGATGCCCTGGCTAAGGCTGAACTTGAAACACTTCAGAGTGAGTTTTTACCACTGTCTTAATAAACAAAGATGTAATATGAATGCCTTCTGCACTGGATGTATATGAACAAATATTTTTATAATCTCCTAAAATACATGCTTTATATATTTCTGTCCTGCTGTTAAATTTAAAGAAGCTTTTAATTTTGTGGCTAATTTTGCAGTAGGCTGCTGTTTTTTTCCTATAGAAGCGTGAAACTCAGGTGATAGATGTATCGTAGCAAAAAGAACATGCCTTGCTAGAAATGTTGCTTTACAGGAACAGGAGATCTCAAAATTATAGATCTTGAAGTAAACATTTTCCAAAGTGACATCTTGGGTTTTGAGCATTTTTATATTCTCTTTGTCTGTAAATATTTTTTAAAATAACGTGTGTAATAATTCTTTTGTGCGTATTGAGTTGATTTTTGTGATAGAAAGTGAACATAATGTGAATTTCCAAATGCATGAATGCAGACTTCAGAGATGGATTCATGCTATTGTTGCAATAAGTGCTTTAAAGTCTTTACGCTCTTATAAAAGACCAGAGAAAGCAATTAACATTTCCCTTAATAAAGTATTCAGAATAATTATAGGTGACTTTTCCTTTTCTTTTTTCAGTTCATTGCTTTTGACAATGAACTACCCTACAAAAAACCTACCCTCTTCTGAAGACAATTTAAAAAGTTTTTTGTCTGCGTTTGTATGTGCATGCTTGCTTTATTTACTATACTTAAGTGCATGCTTTTAAGTTCCTTTATTCTGACAAGTGCATTGAGTGCCCTGTGATAATTTACTAGCTTGGAGTATGCATAAGCCGTTAGGCACTTAAAATACAGCTGCATAATTTATATTTACAAAATAGCTTAATTTTGTAAAATCAGCAAAGAGATCCAGTTTCAGTGGTAATTCCCAACTTCTCTGTAGCTGAATCCATTTTAGGAAAATGGATAACATTCAGCACCTCAGTGAGCATCGTGGACCCAGGCCAAATCTAGGAAAATAATGCATTTAATGCTTGTTAGGGAGGCCTGCCATTATGTTTGAGATACCTACCACAAAATAGGCCCTTGAAAAGGGTCTTGACTTGGGTTATTAAAAACTTGTTAAATTGTCAGATAGCAGTGTATTGCCATTGTTCATAATAGCTGGCATGCATTCCTCATTGAAATCTGTGAACTAGTGTTTTAAAAGGACTACTTTTTGAAAGCAGAAGTGCAAATGAAAATATAAAGTCATTAAATTGTAGTGTGCAGACTCCTGTGTCACTGAAAGGTTGCTTTTTTTTTGTTACCTCAGTAGCAGTGCCCACACGGGAGAGGTGCGAGGTCGGCACATTTCCCCCTCCAGGTCACCCCTGACCTCTGAGAGAAGCACCACCCTGTCCCCTGTCACACTGCTGGGTGCAACACAGCATAACTCCCATGTCTGCTGGGTGACCCGGTGTCACTCGTGAGAGCGGGGTCCAGTCCTCACCCGTGTCACTGGCTGGCATCCTGCCCTCCCTTAGTAGGCTTGCTGGCAGGGAACAACAAGAAGGATTGAGAGTCACCACCTGTAATTAGCAGAGTTTGAAATTTGGTACAGAATTATTTAGTCAGCCGTAGCAGTGCGATAGCTGGGCAGCAGAATGAGCTGTCAGTTACCTTTTTAAAAAATAAATAAGACTCCCAAGAGAGGAACAAGAGATGCATCCATGTTACTGTAGGCAAAAAAAATTATATCATTTTTTCCCGAAGCTTATGTGCAAAGCATCTGCGAAATTTGCTTATTTCATTATGTTGCTCTGCATTGTCACTTCCCAATTAGCATAGAAAGGTTGTAAATCACCAAATGTGCATTTTGTTTGCCCCTGTTCTTCTCAATTTTAGGGACCATCCCTGGGATGCAAGTTCATAATAACAGTTCCATCTATCTAATTGAGTAAACGTATCTCATGCTGATTAGCAATAGCTGTTTTACAGTGCTTGTTTTTTCATGGCCTAATTGCTGGTTTGCCCCCATGTCTATCTGCTTTCCTGCTCAAAGTGTGCAGTATTCTGTAGGTGGCTTGAACTGAAACCAGAGAATGGTACTGGAGGAGGAAAATATAATTTGCAAAATAGGAACAAGAGGACAATATTAAGATGTCACTAAAGTGCTGTATTTGGTAAGGAGTGTGAAAAAATAATTTCTTGGTAAGTCAATATTATGCACAGTTTTGATTTAGTTTTGTGGCAGTTTTGCAGTGCTTCTTATCACTTCTCAATCCATTCAACATGGTCATTACTACCTTAATAAAATATAGCAACTTTACCTTACAGAAATACAGCAACTTACAGTATAAGCTTATGTTTCTAGGAAAAATGGTTTTGTGTGGAATTACAGATGATTGTGTGTTTTAGGGACAAAAATAGAGATGTTTTGCCTGACATTTTCTGATGCATTTTTCACATTTAGATACCAGAACACAAAATTTATTTTTAAATGACAGTGCTTTAATTAATAAACTTACTTTCAACTTCTTCTGTAGCGTCACATGTATGTGATCCCTTCATCAGGGAATGATTCCTTAACAATATGACCTTCATAGTCACAGGATGTGAAATAGAGTATGTATTAGCTGAACCAAATAGTCATTAAACAAAGATGACTTAAAGATACAGTGTCAGGACAGATGACTCTGACAGTTTTTAAATTTAAATTTAAAGGTTTGAGTAGTTATCAGGACAAATTCTTGCAGCTCTCAAGCTCTTTTTGCATGGATACTTCTTTCAACCACATCCATTTTGGGGAAACGCATCTATTTTTCTTTCTTTATATTTAGCCTTGGTAGTTCTCTTACTTTCCATTCTTCTTAGTTTCTTTTCCCTGTCCTTCAATATGAAGACTTACATTTATTTTTACAATATGCCCTTTTAAAGAAATGGTGCCTGGTAGATATTGCAGGTGAACTCTTCACTGGCATCCCAGTTACCAAATGTATTTGCATTGTAAATCCAGAATTCTTGTTGTGATGTACAAGGCATCTGGAATAAGCTATGGCAAGTAACTTTTTGTTTCTAGTTATAAACCATGTTGAATAGTTTGTAGTTTTTTGGGGCTTTTTCCTTATCACTCCCATCATTCAAGCTTTAGCTGAAGTATGAAGTTACAAGTCCTATGGCTGTATGACTAGGACTGTGTTGGGCGTTTATGATGTGGTGTGATGTAGTATGATGTGGTTTTGATGTGTCTCTTCACAGGGCCTTATAGCAAAGCACTCTTACCCAAGTGCCTGCCACCAAACATCCAGAGCTGTAGTGAAACCTTTTATACATTTGATCATGTTTGGTTAGGCTTGGTTGTTCTCCCTTTCCAGACAGCTCAGAATACAGCATGCTGCTTGGGCAGCTTTTTATATTGTTTCATGAAAACTAGGATAGGAGACATCATTACATCATTCAGTATAATGTGTTTATTTTAAACCCATATTGGCAAAAGTCAGTGCAAAATACTGATTCTCCTGACTTGTCTTGTTTGACTTGTACCAGTGATGCACTTTAGCTTTGTGCATCGTGTTATACAAGAAATTATATTGATCAGAAGGCCTCGAAATGCCTTCTCTTCTTCATAGTTTGTTGAGACAATTAGTTTTACTATTATATAGTTATATCTTAATTTCAGTGTAGATTTCTCTAGCTGTAGCTTTCAGTAGTTCATTATTAGCATTTGTCTGTGCCTAAAAAAAGTTTTATTTATCTACAGGTGTTCTTAATATAAAGCATTTCCTTAGCCCTTAATTTTTGTGGATCTTCTGTACTTACTTAGTTTTCCAATGTAGTGGGGCCTGGGTTTGTATACAGTCTTCTGAAGTTTTGTCATCTTCATATCATAAAATTGTGTTTCTTCTGTGATTATTGTTCTGTTTACAGAATCAGAGATTACTTAAGTTCCTATTGCTCTGATAGCTCATTTCAGGTTGCTTGTCCACCATAACTGTGAGCTCTTACATCAAAGGTTCCTTGCACACAGTTCCTTGTAAGTGCAGATATGGCATAAGGTCCTTAACTGTATTTTCCAAAAATATTTTTGATTGGTCCCAGACTACAAGTTGGTCCATGTTCCTACTTCTTCCTGTTCTTTCCTCGTCCCTGTAAACCATTTTGACCAAACTGATGGAATCTAGCACTGTACTGAAGGTGACTTTCCTTTTACTTCCAAATAATTGACAAATATCTTGGATAATTGTGTTTAGTATTAATCTCTGCCAAAATGCAGTGTTGACATGTCTGCTCAGTAATGATTTGCTGACAGGCAGGTTCAGAGAAAATTAATTCATGCAGTGCATGCTTTTTTGGTCGGTGTGGGTGTGAATGTTCTGATCACTTAATTGTTACCTCTGAAGCCTAATTATGGCAAACTATGTATCATCCATTTCACTGATTGTTTTGGCAGGCCTGCTGAAAGAATTTTGAACTTGCAAGCTCATGTGCTTTTCCCAATTGTTTCAACTAGGCTTGTATGATACCTCTCCTCGCAAAACTTGCTTCAGATTTTATGGAAGATATTCCACTAACATACAGTGTATGAGTGGAATCCATGTTTCATTTTATATTTGTTGGAAGGCAAATTAGCTCTCAAATATTGGAGCCTTGTTTCTAACCCTTTTGTATTTGGGGAGAATTAGAAGTTTTGGGAAGGATAAATACTCAGAGAAAAAGATGAAAGGCATCAAAATCTGCAGCTTGTGAGAAGTTTTTTGTGGCTGAGGATGCATTCAACCCTGAGCATATCTTTAGTCAGTTTGCTCGAAAAATAAACTAGCTTGTAGGTCCCAGTACAGCAGAGGTGTATATCTGTCTCTAACTCATTCATGTAATCTCATTGACTTTATTATGAGTACAGAAATGTGTACTTTTATTGAACATGTGTGTTTGCCCCATATTTGCATTGATATTGAACATGGTTTGCTCCATTTTTTCAACACTGTCAAAACCTTAGTAAAAAATTTTTTGGACTTCTGGGTTCTTTGCGTTCTGTCCGACTGTGTTGCTGTACGTGCAAGTGATTTTTTTCTCTCTCACGTTTAAAACAAATTTTAATGTTCTAAAAACTTTGGTTTGGTAAGTGAACAGTGTTGAAAAAAGAGATCTCAGTGCAGTATCTTACTAATTTGCCAAAAGGATGTTTGCTGTCTACCTCTGTGTGTGGTTCATATTTCCTGCTTATTAATGCATGAGATATCAGGCAGCCTGTCCATTTGATTTTCAAGACATCACTGTCTTTTTTTAGACTATATTTTCTGTGAATTCTTGTTCATACTTAAAGCTTAGAAGCCTCAAAGAGAGGGGGAGCTACAACTTGATGTGTTATACTTTCTTTGCAGAAGTTCAGAACTTGTTTTTGGTTTATTTCTTTCTGTATGAAGCAGTTTTTTCTTTCTGTGAAAAATTCTCTAAATTCTTTTTATTTACACCAACTAACATGTAAAATCAGTATATATTTTTCTTCAAACTTTAAAATACAGGACCTCTGATACTTGTTATGGAAAAAGCACTGCTGTTTTAGTACGTGATTACTTGATCCAAAAAGGCTAGCTGGTTCCTTATCTGACAGCTGATATATCTTAAAGCGAGGAATCATTAGCCAGATACTATTAATTCTGCCACTGATAAAATTAATGTAGTAACAGCATGGAAGAAGTAACAAGGAAGGTCAAAGTATCTGACCATGTGCAAGTAATTCATCAGACTTCAAAACCCAGATTATGGCACCAAAAGCTAGGAAAATGTATAGCCAGTACAGGAATAGTATTGGAGGCCTTTAGAAACATAAAATTATATACTTTATGAGAGTTAGCTGTGTGTTATTTGTTAAATTCTGGGCATCCCAGTGATAGGTGTGTTTATGTGCTATTCAGACATAGGGGACATAGCTCCATACCTCTTTTTTTAAATCTTAAGTTGTTAAATACACAGTCAAATTTATTATTGTGGTAAAGAACTTGATAGTTCTGCAGGTGGAAAACACTTACAGAAAATTAGTATCCTTGCAGTATGAAATCATCAAATGATAAAATTTCTTCTGCTACAGAAGGACTAGAACTCCGTAAAGTCATGAATCATTTTACATTGGAGTGGTAGATATCAAAAAATTTCCATTGTGCTTATGACCTTGGATTCCATTTAGTTTCTGCTGTTGCCTTGTTTTTTTATTTTATTTAATAAACTAGCAAAGTTACTACACTGTAATTTGGCAATTGAACTACATGATTTTCTCAGAAAATAGTAATGAGAGTAAGCTATTCATTTATCCTATTGAGCTTGAAGTCAGGCTCTGTTTTTACCAGGATTGTTGTCTCTCCCCTGCTTTAGTTGTATGAGCACCAGTAACTGATTAAAGTCAAGGGATGTTGGATATTGGTGCCCACATAGGGCGTAGTGGTCTGATTGGGTCTCCAGCAGGCAGTCACAATACTGAGAAGAATCTATGAAATCTTTTTCTGAATGTTTTTCATGCATTTCACTTTGGTTTGTGTGTAACAGTATTAGAACAATATTTGAGACTGGAGAAGAAAAATGCATTTTAAAAGTCTGTTCTGTTATAGTGGATGGGCTAAACCCAGCACCACTAGAAGACAACACTAAGTGTTGAGGGAACACTTGCATTTCAAAACTCTGAATCATAGCTCTAGTTGTCACTGGTGTCAGCACAATCAAACACATCCTTACATTAGGTGGTGGCGGTGGCAGCTGCACCAACTTCCTGGCTGGCTGTCAAGCCTTAGCAGATACAGGATTCAGCTGTCTAGGCATTATCTACTATTTGGAAAACCTGATCCATATTCTCTTCAGGGGGAAGCACTAGGCCAGATTGGAAGTATCTTTTGGGCTGCCGTGAATTGCTGATAATGAAAAGATAGCATGAAAGAGGGAGGTTTTCTTCCTAAGTATTTCCTGTGGACTTCCATTGTTTGGGTGAAATAGTTTCAGTGAGGTTTTGCTTTCTCCATCTTCACCTGAAAAAGCAACAGTACTTAGCTGCCTTGAGACATCATACCTCTGAACATCACTTCTGAAATTCCTCTGTCTGAAATCCTTCATGATGTTACCATTAAACCATTTTTATATGCATTCCTGTTTTAAAAAGTGACTTTGAAAATTCTGAGGTGAAACTGTTCTCAATGGGTTATTGGGAGCCCTATGTCAAAGATGCTGTGACTTCAATTCTTTTTTATTTTTTTTAAAATTCAATATGACAGCCATTGTGGTATTTAAGGGATATGCTGAACTCCTTCATCTTTTTGTATATGCATGGGAGACAGTAGAGATAAGGTTTTTTTAGTTTTGGTTGAGTGCTTGTTTGAGGTTGTACAGCCATCTTCTCTAGGTGGGATTTTGTGTTCCTTTGATTGTCAGCAAACAGCAGGATGTCTTATCTATGTTAGGTCTTCCTCTGTCACTTAACTGTCTGAAGAAGGCCTAGATACTGTCTTTGATACCTCATTTTAAAGAGAGGTGTGGTGTCTTCTGGAAATACTGTTACAGAATTTTTTCTAAAACTACAGAAAGAGTGTAGATGACCTATTGGCAGGCTCTGCTCTTCATTTTTAAATGTTGGTTAGAAGCATTCAGTCTTTAACTATTTACATATTTTGAGAGGGAAAATTAATAAACAGTAGGTAATGGAGTGCAAGATACTTAACGGTGTAGACAGTTGGCTTTTCCTGTAATTCCAAGTGAACACACAGTGGGTTTGATTATTTTGTAGGATTGAAATACAGTGATGAAAACTGGCATTTAAGTTAACGTGCTAGAATATTTTTGCCAGTACATGTGTTTGGGGTAAATAGCTGGTGAAGCCACTGTTGCTTATCCATGCAAATCTTACCTCTGACTCCAGAAGCTGTTACACATGGCAATTTTGGAGTAAAATAATATTAAAAATATGTGATTTGATTATAAAAATTACCTTTTGAAATAGACAAAAAGACTTTTGCACCAGTGTTGTGTTTAATAACATCTGCACAATGAGAAAAATGCTGGTGTTAATACTTTTGGGTTTTCACTTACTTTTGTTTTTTAGGGAGCATCTGTCATTTCATTATATTTACTATGCATGCCTCTAGAGGGATGCTAAAAAATTCCACATACAAGTTTTTACTGAGTATTTCATTTATTTAGAGTAATTTGACAAGCAAAGTTAGAGATTTTTCACAAAAACAGGTCTCTGAACAATGTACAATGAAACTGAACAATGAAAAGTTGAATTAGTCATGCTGTTAACTTTCAAGATCTGTATAAATTTCCTGTTCTTTTTGGACTTTTGAAAGGTGCCATGAGACCGTTCTCTCCCCCTCTATTGTTTTCTTAAATAGTCAGTTCCTAGGAGTTTGTCAAATCTGTGGAGTTTTTTTTCATTGTGCTGTTTCTGCACATACACAGTTAGGAAAAGAAATTCTGCATCAGAGCCTGTAGGGAACAGTCCTCTGTCCTCTTCAGGATTTTTTAAAAGAAGGTTTCCACGAAAAAGATTTTTCCTCTGAAGTATTAGGGCATGGTTGGAAAGGCAGATAAGCTGATCTTGCAGCCCTCTGCTGCTGGCAAGTATGGTTCTTCTTTTCCTTGCCCACCACCTTTAAATAACTTGGATGTTTTTCTTTTTGTTTGAGTGTAAAGAGTAATTTTCTACTAGCTTAGGGAATTGAGTTAGTTTGCTAAGTGATTGGATGACTGTCGAAGCACAGTAGAAGACAGAGGAGCATAAAAACATGCAGTAGAGAGTGGAAAGGTGGAGTTAGAGTAGAATTTCTCTCTTGGTTGCAGTGAGGTATTAGATCAGTTCTTTCAGTTTAGAAGCATCTAGTTATTGTGAATACAGCATATTTTTAAAACATGAGGAAAAAACAGAGGAGTCACACTGGGCATACTGAGTGTTCAAGCTTCTCTTTCTGGCCCTCGTCTTCTTGTCTTTCCAACAGCTCTGTCAATTTTCCATCTTAAATCTTTCTTCTGAGATCATGTTATTTTCTGGGGTTTAGGTTATGTTGTCCCTCCTTCCTGTCTATCCCTTAAGTTTGCTGCTCCCGTTTAATATGATTTGAAGGACAGAGAGAGCAGAACAGTGATCAGTGTGAGAAATGAGGTCCAACATTTATAACTCCCAAAATGTCCAAGTGCTAGAACAGAGCTGTTTGTAGTTGCAGAAATCTGAGAATAAAGATGCTATCCATTGACAGAGAAGTTTGTAGGCAGCAGAGCTGACCATAAAGTAATACAAAAATGGTCTAAACATCACCTTTCTACCTTTGCCAGTGCTCTGAAGCTAGCTGAACTTTTGAAATCTTTTAACAACTCCTGTGCTTTTGCCTGTACTAATCTTCATTGCCAGGTGGTGCAGCAGTAACAAGGGCTAACTGATTTTGAGGAGCTGATCTGGCCCTTAAAGGCATAGTTCAGATGGAAGAGGGGCTAAGTGGGTGCATTCCTCTTTACTTCTAATAAAAATAAAATTATTATGCAAAACTCTGCTTCTCTTTTTAACAAAGAAATTTAAGCCTTTTCCTCAGTGGAAATTTTAATATAGGATTAAAAGTTGAGGAGCTAAGCCTGCTTCTGAATTCCACATCTCTGCAATACTAGTAGCATTACTTTTTCTTCTTTTTTACTTTTGTATAGAGGAGAAGAAACCTAAAGTCAAGAAACCGAAATTAGAATTCCCTGTGTACATGGCTCTGGAATCAAATACTTATATACCATCATATGATCATGGAGCTTCAATTGAAGAGATTGAGGAACAGATGGATGATTGGCTGGGAGGCAGGAACAGGACACAAAAGAAGAAGGTAAGTTCAAAGTCTCTCATGTTGTTTTATATTTTAAATGTTGATTCATTTGCTTGCCTCTTAGGAAAATGGAATATTGTGTGTATGCCACCACTATTCATATACCACTGAAGTCTAGAGAAGTAGTAATTGTCTGGCAGAGACATAACAGAAAAAATTATATAAATGTTCAATGTAATTTGTGTAACAATACTGGAAATGTTGTTATAATAGGATGTCATTGACTATACTGTATGAATGCTCTCTATGACTGTTCTTGTTCACTAGAAATTAGTAGAACATAATGCTGTCAAGTTATATGAGGCTTGGTTCTTTCTCTTAATTGCAGTTAATAACATTGCTTGCAAGAATACATTCTTCTCTATTTAAAAAAAGGCAAAGGAAAAAGAAGCTTTCTTAATATGCAGGTGTAGTATCTTTTGATTATGGAACTGCTTATGTATTTTGTACTTTTCATCTGGAAAAGTCCTAACAAGTTGATTTAGGCCTTTTGTTAAGGTTCTTTCTACTCAAAGGTAAGGGTTCTTAGTGGCAGTTAGTAAATTTGTGTTCTGGTAAATTTTATTAAATCATACTGGCTTGAAAACGTATACTTTTCATCTTAGAACTGAGATGCACAGATGACAGAAAAAATGCTGTAAATTGGTCTCCTGACTTGAAAATCTGCCTTTCTTGGAAGACAGATGAGAAGAGTGTGATTGGAGTGGAGATTGGGCAATACATTGACTTCAGTGTCATAATAGTGAAAGAAGTTCCTGCTGTCATTTGTTTGATTCCTCTCTGCTGCAGATTTGCTTACGGAGTTGTTTTCAAGCCTGTGAAAAATACTCTCTCCCATTTTTAGCCAGACGTGAAGTTTTTACAAACATAATTTGAATTTTACCTAACCCATCTAATCATCTACTATTATTGAATTCAAGTCTCCTGACCTCCCACTTGTCACTTTTTTCTTGCTTTTACTTTTTTTGTTCTGTATGATTTAGTACATCTGCATTATGTTTATTTTTACATTTTTGTAACAAATCAATTCAGCAAATGTGCTTAACATTTGATTCCTATGTAAGGGATTGACACACAGAATCCTTAACACTGGGTCATATTTTCACATGCTTAGAGAAGGTAAGGGCTTGGGTCCTTAATTCTACAGATGAGTTGTCTGGGAGCTAAGAGCATATGTACAGTCATTGCTTTGTTTACATTAATTCAAGAAGTGCCTGTGGATTGGATTCCTGTTAGTTGCATCTCTGTGAACAGCTTTGTTTGCCAGGCTGTGTGGGCAAATATTTAAAGGAGAAAAGATGTTTGTTTGTTTGTTTACATTAGCTTGGGTTGGTTGCATGCTTGACTATCTGGATCCCCAAATTCACCTTCCTCTCTGATGGAAATTGAGTCTGTATTTGGATTTCCATGCAAATGAAGAAATTTAATAAGACTGTGCAATCTATAGATTTGCACCTCCCACACAGAGTATATTGAAGTTGTGTCTTCACAGACACTACTAAGGGAACAAGTTGTAGGTACATCCTTTCAGATGTTCTCAACGAAACTAACTTGGTTTTCTACACTTACAGCTGGAAGTTCAGTATTGCATCTCGTTGCTTTGATTAATGAGTGTATTTTTTTAATTACAAGCTGTTACAAAAGGGATTAACATTTTAGAGACAAGCAGGCAACTCATAGGTATGCCATCTGGGTAAGGTGTTTGACCTGAACAAACTGTGATGAGGTGTGCTTCCTTTCCTTGACAGATATGTTATTACGATGCAACATTGACATGTAATACAGTAGTGGAGGGAAATGGATTAATAAACTGTTCAAAGAAATGGCGAATATACATTACTGGCTCTAGTAGCCTGTAGGAGGCGTTTCTGTGTAATATGAGTCTGTGTCATGTGATTTGTGATAAGCTCACTGGGAAAATGGTTGTACCGCAAGTGAATTGTTCCTAACTGTCATTCAACACATTTTCTGTTTTAGAAACATTTATTTTCCTTCACTTCGCATCATAGATGTGAACTGGGTCAGCTTCCCTCTTCTGCCTCTTGCATGGATGTGAAATCAAGTGGTGTATAGCATACACCTCTCAGTTCTGCTTGTCTTAGAAAAAAGTTACTCTTTCATAAATAAGTTTGCCATCAGAATTTTTCTCAGGATTCGCATTCTTCACTTAAAAGGAAACATCTTAGCTTTTGTTTGTTTGTTTGTTTTCTCTCATTGTAGCTCAGGGCTATGGACTCTGTACAGCCAACCAGCCTTGAGAGCAGTTATGCAGGTGGTGGCTTGGTAAAGTAGTATGTTACTTTGTCATCCTTCCAGGAGTAGGAAGTGGAGTTGCTGTCCCTGCTGTTGGTATCCCAAGTGTAGATGATTACAATTAATTTAATATTGTTCATCAACTGCTTTGCACTGCTGACATGTGTACTTTAGAGGTGCCTGTAATCCATGGACTAGTTTTTGGAAGTGCTGTACCCTGCAGAGTGCCCAGTTTTATAAAAAGTTCAGATTATGTTTAGTTGTTAGGTTGAAGTCAGTCTCTGTAATTTTTTTTTTTTGATTACTGTTTCCATAGGATTTAAGTACTGAAGTAGATAAGGAACAGGCTATAGAGAAGATGCCTTCCTTCTTAGATATCGTAAAATGATCCACCAAGGGAAGGAGAAAGAGGAATGTTTTCCATCTTTTTCATAAGGTTACATGGCTGACTGAAAATGTACTTATAGCATAGTGAAGTTATTCTTCTGTCTGAGAACACACTGAGTTTATCTTCATAAGGAGCTTGTTACTCTCTACTTAGAACTGAATATTAAAAGAAAACGAGCTATTGGAAGATACTCAAATAATATCAGTACTGCAGAAGTGAGAGGTAATTTTTCTTCATTTCTATACAATTTTGATCCTTGCACTTTAAAAAAAAAAAAAGAATAGTTAACAGAAAGACTAGGTCAGCAATAAAAATAAATTTAGAAAATCTTATTTAGGAAGGAAGGCTAAATAGATGGAGTTTTAGACCAGAAAAGGGAAGCTGTTGGGGAATAACTGGATACATTGTTTTTCCAGTCCATTACAGTTTTGTTTTAGGCAAAATTGTAATAATTTATTAGGACTTACTACCTTTCATAAATTCAGAGGGAAAGAAATACTGGATTTGGTTTGCAGCCAGGATGCTTCACTTCAGATTTGGGAACACATGTAGAGGGAGGTGCATAACTAGAGCATGTTGCCTAGACCATTTATGAAACATTTTCTTCTATCCTGTTCTTAAATTCGATCTGTTGGAAATAGTGCAAGGTGACTCAATTGTATTTGAGAGCATGGAAATGAAGTAGTGGGATTCTTGAGGGGATTTTTTCTATATGGGAAATCATATACTTATCTGAGACTAAATTGCATATTCATATAGAGCTGTTTATACTATTCATGTAAACTGCATATGACTGTGAACCTCGGAGGAATTACTAAAAGCTTCTTCTCATGCTGATACAACAAAACTCTTCAAAGGAAGTAATGAAAAAGTTTATTTCTAAAATTATTGTTTTGTCGCTGAATGTTTGTACTGTTTCTGAAAGGGAGATCTGCAAGATCTTCTTTCAGGTTGTTGAGATAAATAGCTTAATTTACTTAGCTTGACTTTCTCATTTTTTTTAATCTGTCATTAAAAGTGACTGGAAAACGTGTTCTGTGTATGCTTGTTAGGAATTAAGAGAAATTTAGAGGGAATAGGCTTCCTTTGAGGTATATTATTTTGTGGCCTGAGTATGTTGTTAAGCCACTATTGCATTACTTAGTAGCCATTTAACTCTTTACTTTCCTGTTGAGCAACCTGTTATGTGGAGCTTGAAGAAAGAAAAGCAACTTATTAGAGGACATATTTTGTTACATCTGATCTTGTTCTGTCATTTCTGCAAATATTCATGCAAGAATATATGTATTCACTGTTTTTGGAATCATTCTATTGAATCATTTCTCAGTGGGATTTCTCTCATTCTTTGTTCTGATTTGATTTTATGTGATTTGTAACACATGTTGTTTTCATGAGAGTTCATTGTTTATGTGAATAATATTGTTCTTTCATGAATATCTTGGCCCTTGAGAAATCAGTGGGAGATTTATCGTTGTCTTCAGTGGGACCAGGATTATAATTTCTTTTGGTTTATGGATTTCTCATCTTCTCCACTGGAGTCACCTCTTCGTTCCATATCGTTATTTGACTCACTCATCTCTGAAGGTAGAGTTCCAAGTTCTTTCTCAATGAGGAGTGAATACTTTTGACCTTTTCATATTTGCTTGGTCTGTAAAGGGGAGATAAAGGTGGAGAAAGACAGTGCCTGATCCTTTCCAGCTGGACCAGATGTATGGATAGAAAATGATGTTTCTCATTATTTTTGTTTTTCATGTTATCCTGCAGCACTTCTTGGCGTTTGTGTGTTTTTGATATTGCAGGAGCACCTGGCTTGATTTTACTAAAGCAGGAGTAGTAAAAACTATTTTTATGCACAGTGCTTAGGAAGCTTAGATAACGTACATCTTCTGCATCTGCTATACTTTTTACCTTTAAATTAGGATTATTAAAAATACTGTGAAACAAAGGTATACATAAGCATTGTTTTTACACAGTTTATTGGTAGATGCTGGAAACGTGGTAGTTAACATTTTTTCGTAGTTGTTGAACTGTATGCTCTGATCATCTGGTACTGAACTCTGAATGCAGTTTATGTTTTTATTTTTCTCAGCGTGGGCCATCAAAGCACTGTGTTTCAGAGATAGGATATTGATAACGGAGTGAGCTTTTTAATTATGAAGGTTTTATTTGAAAGCTTGCTGTGGAACAACGATATAAAATAACTTTAAATGCACAAAAGAAATCTCTCTACTTTATAACATTAAAAGGCAAAATGCCATACAAATGCTAGATTATTTTTTGTTAGTTTAAAATGTATAGATTTGACAATTAAATCTTAGTAATTTTATAATCTTGCACATTTCATAATTGCCAGCTACCC